CTTTGCTGTCATTCATGTGAAGCTGTCTCACCTCTATGTCAGAGATGGCCGACTCCAGGGCACAGCTCCAGCTGACCAAAGCCTCGGAGCGATAAATCAGACCAGAGTCGCACAGTCGGACGAACGCTGCAGTTACAGCTCTGCTGAAACCCTGAAATCACATCACAGAAGCAGGACAAACAGTTGAAGGTGCTTCCCCCACTGCAGCCAACTTTACAGCTCAGCTTCAGCGTTTCACTTTCATGGAGAGGCCACAGGACGGTGCCTCGTTTAGCCTGTGTGTGCCGTGGTGAGGAGGCACAGACGGCTACAAATAAATCTGCCTTACTGGAAACAGGGACGCTGGGAACGACTCATCACCTCCACCCATCGTGTATATGTGTATGTGCTTACATCGCACCACAGTTTCACATTCATCTCTTTGTAGCGCTGCTGCAGGTATTTGTACAGTTTCATAAATCAGCTCGTTAGGATGGTTGAGATCATCTTCCTGGGAGGGCTTCATACATAAACTGCAGAGTAAGGAACCAGAGCAGGAACGTGACTCTTACTGGGTCCATAGTGAAGCAGGCTCTGCTCCAGTCCAGAGACGCTCCGAGCTTCCTCAGCTGGTGGTAGATCTCGTCTCCTTTCCTGCAACAGAGGCTCGAAACTCAGCAAACAGCAGCAGGCCACACAGATGTGCTCAGACGTCCAGATGTGAAGACTCACTCGTTCTTCCACTTCCACACCTCCTCCAGAAACTCGTCCCTCGTAAAGTCTCGTCTGTGCTTCCCCGTTTGCCTCAGCAGTCTCCTCTCCACCACCGTCTACAGCACGAGCACATCGACTCTCAGCACTGAGCATGTGCCACAATTTATAGCCTTACAAATGGAATATACATGTGTGATCTTCAGCAGTTTCCATATTCTGATGTTACTCTGAGACACCTGACAACATGTCGCGTACCTGCGTTGCGATTCCTGCGTGGTCACATCCAGGCACCCACAGCACTCTGCAGCCCTGCATCCGTCTCCTGATGGACACAAACACGTGAGCTCAGAGAACAACGACCACACGCTGCTCTGCTGTTCATAGTTACCATCGAACCAGCGCGTCCTCCACAGCTACTGTCAGAGCGTGGCCCAGGTGCAGAGTGCCAGTCACGTTTGGTGGAGGAACGCACAGAGAGAAGGTCTGATCCACCGCGTGGGGCAGCCGTCCCTGAGAGCAGGAAGCACGTTACTCGCGTGCACGTGTGCCTGTGTGCACGTGCACGTGTGCATGTGTGCACGTGTGCATGTGTGCATGTGTGCACAGTCGCTCTGCAGAACAACTTTGTCCTTCGCTGTAAATATATGGCAGGACTGTTGCTCGTGCTTTAGTAACGTGTTCTTTGTAATTATTGAATTATTGACTTCTAAACACAAATAAAATGAAAGGATTAAAAAACATGTTCAGATTCAAATGAAGCTGAAGGTGGACGTCTGAGACTGAGTGAAATCTTTTTTGATGGATAACTTGAATACAATCAGATCTCTGAGTCAGGCTCGCAGTGTGATCTCGTCTCAGGAAGACGCACTTTTCTGTTTTTACAATCACAAAGATCGTCTGAAGGCCCAGAAAAATGCTCAACAGATTTATTTATAGATCGTTATGGCTTTTACCATGATCGTCATATTTTATTCGACCTTTATTATTATTATTTATTTATTAAAGTTATTAAAATTAGAACGGACGGGACCGAGGGACAGATGAGGGACAGAGACGTTGGGGAGAAGAGGAGGAAAAACTCGAGATGAAGAGGGAGAAAAACAACAGTGAACATCAGCTTCATCACCTGCTGAGAGAAAAACAAAACAACACAGGAGGAAATCACAGCAAGCTGCCTTCTCCTGTCAAAGGAACAGAAGAAGCAAAGCAATATTTTTTCTACAATAAAAATAATTATTGTAGAAAAAACAAACTGCTTTACAGCGAATAAAGAGAGCGCTGCTGGCAGGACAAGCTCAGAAAGTACATCAAGTTCACTTTGATGCCTGAAATATGACCAAAGTAAAGTAATCGTATGTTCTGAAAACTGTCTGAGACAAATACAAATGTTTTCTGATCAGTGCTCTGAAACAGTTCATCCATTTTCTGCATCACTAAATAAAAAGTATTTATTTGCTATTATTAGCACTAAAGCTTATCTGATTAACCACTTACTCAGTTTGTTTCATAGAAACTGCGTTAAAGTGAATTCATTTCTAACTGCAACAGTAACAATTTGATGTAACAAGTTGACATGTTTACATGTTGCTCAGGACTGAAGAATCCCTCTCTCTCCCACCACTGATACCAGCTGGACTCCACGTACTC